ATTAACCGAATAGAATTAGACGCAGAATCCTGAATAATTTTTGATTCAATCGTACATACGTATTATATACCATACTATGGTATATGCGATAGACCATAGATGCATCGAAAAGTAGATGTGTGAAGTAAGTGAAAAGGAGGGAAGAAATGAATGAGGAGGGAGAGAGGGAGGGAGGGAGATGTCAAGTTTAGACGCGAACCTTGACGCTGGGCCATGCCTTTGGTCTGGTATGCGTAACGCGACGAACGCGGAGGGCTTCGGAAAGGAGAGAAGTGAGAGTGAGTGAGCGAACGAGTGAGCGGGCAAGTGAGTGAGAGTGAGAAAGGCAGAAAGGAAGAAAGAAAGAAAGAAAGAAAGAATGAAAGAAAGAAAGAAAGAAAGAAAGAAAGAGTGAAAGAGTAAAGGAGTGCGTGCGGTCCCCGTTGGCGGTGTCGCGACGACGGTGTCGATCGCGGGTCCGGGGGCTGAGAGCACGAAGCTATGGGTGACGCTGAGGTAAGGAGGGCCGAGGGAAGTGGGCAAGAGGGCGGGGAAAGAAGAAGGAGCACAGAGGCGCAGAGCAACAGAGAAGTGGACGGCGGCGACGGCGGGTTAGCGGCGCGATTCAACCTCCTTTCACTTTCGAGGAGCGCGCGAATACGTCGATCGCGCCTGTGTATTTCTATATGTTAAAATGTGTATGTGTGTGTGTGTGTGAGTGTGTAAGCGTGCGTTCGCGACGACGACATAGAGCAAAGCAAACGCGTCGTACGAAAATAGGCAACACTGCCGGTTTCGCCGCGTGTTCGCCCTACAAAACGCGAGTCGCGTTTAAAGAGAGGAGATGGAGGAGAAGGCTGCGATGGGGTCAGAGGTCGGCAAAGCTGTAATCCGTTTCTAAATCGTTTTCTTTTTTGCTTTTATCAATGTTCCAGCTGTGCGGGAGGACCGCATGAGAGGCGGTAGAAACAAATTTGGGCCGATGTATAAGAGAGACCGAGCGCGGAAACTACAAATGATGAGACAACGGCAGCTGGCACTGCAAACGATATGCGGTAGTCTCGGCGATCCATCAAACTATACTTCCACCGTAACACCTTTCCTGCACATCAAGCAGGAGATTCAAATACCTCAGGTCTCGAGTCTAACGTCTTCGCCGGATTCGAGTCCGTCTCCGGCGGCGGCTGCGGTGGCCGCCGCCGCTGGTGGCCTCCTCACCACGCAATCCGCTGGCGGTGGTGCCGGAGGCGGCGGCGGTGGTGGCGGAGGAGGAGGCGGCGGAGGAGGAGCTGGGCAGCATCAACTGATCGCCCCTTCCTCTCAGCAAAACCTCGCCGCCGGTAATCACCTGCACAACCTCAACCCTGGCCTCGATAGCAAGCTATGGCCCGCTAATTCGACCACCCCCAGTCCGAAGGCCTTCAACTTTGGCGAACAGTCGGCGCAACCCCACGGACCGCCGCCGGCCTCCGCGCCTTCTACCGCGCCCTTGAAAACTAGTCCGCTGATAAGAGACTTCGTGCAGACGGTCGACGACCGCGAGTGGCAAGCGTCCCTCTTTGGGCTCTTGCAGAACCAAACGTACAATCAGTGTGAAGTGGATTTGTTTGAACTAATGTGCAAAGTGCTCGACCAGAATCTTTTCTCGCAGGTCGACTGGGCCAGGAACTCTGTATTCTTCAAGGATCTCAAGGTGAGTTAGCTTGGCTCTCTTCCTCCTCGTAACGCTAACCTCTTTATATCCCCACTCCCTCCTCCTCCTCCTCCTCCTCCTCCTCCTTTCCTTTCCCTTTTTCTCTCTACACTTATTTACAATACATTTTGCCAGCCGATCTTTCCCATTTTTTCAATACTTTTCGATCATTCGTACGACTACGAGAGAGTCTCTTCGAGGAAAAACCGGCGGTCCGTTCTTACCGATAAATAACTCGTCGTTGCTGGCCCGCTCGACTCTACGAGTGGCGGGGATGTGAGGTAACCAACGGCATTGCACAATCACTGAATGATTTCAAGCATCGCCTCATATCTAGGTCATAACGAGATACGTTTCTGGGTTATGGCGGTTGCCCCAAAGCAGCAGACCCATGTTAATTATATAGGATTGCGTATTACGTCGTCATCGAGATCCCAATATGCACCTATTTTTCATACCGATTTCGCTTTCCATTTTTTTCTGTTTTTTCTTTTTTTTTTTTTTTCTTTTTTTTAATTCTATCGATACTCCTCTTCTTCTTTCACTCGCAGCATGAGATTCGATAAACTCCTCGGCCACGTAATATTATTCGTTTTCTTTCCCTTTCTCTCTCTCTCTCTCTCTCTCTCTCTCTCTCTCTCTCTCTCTCTCTCTCTCTCTCTTTTTCTCTCTTTCTCTCTTTCTCTCTTTCTCCCATGAAAAGAAGCGATTATGATATCCATCGACATATTCATTTGTTCGCGATTACCACCATTCAGTATGTATAATATCGTTATTATTGACACTCTACGTAAGCAGACTTATATCGAGTGCCACTCAAATTTTATAACACATGTCCACTTTTGTATTTCGATTATTTCGAGATTTTTGTTGAAATTTGTCTTGCACGGTTCTTTTTTCTTTTTTACAAACTAAACGTGATGGTTTTCTTCTTTTCTCCTTTTTCTTTCTTTTTTTTTTTTTTTTTAATCAAATCCACAATCTACAACTTACGATCATATTATACGATCATATAATGTGTCGATGTTTATTCATTAAATTTATTTGTATTCATTAAACGTATTTCGTGATCATTATCATTATTTATACTGTATCCTTTACATTCGTTAAATATCAATGTAAAAAGGAAAAAAATGATTTTAATAGGTCGACGACCAAATGAAATTACTGCAGCACTCCTGGTCGGACATGTTGGTGCTTGATCATCTACATCAAAGGTTGCACAATAACCTACCCGATGAGACCACGCTTCACAATGGCCAAAAGTTTGATCTTCTGTGCCTAGGCCTACTCGGAGTTCCTTCCTTGGCAGATCTTTTCAACGATTTGTCCTCCAAACTTCAGGAGCTCAAATTTGACCTGTCTGATTACATTTGCATGAAATTCCTGATGTTGCTTAACCACGGTAAGATTTTAATCTCGCCTATCCTTTGTTCTTCTTTTTCTTCTTCTATCTCCTATTATATACTTGCAATAATTAGAGAGAAGAGAGGGAAAACAATAAAAGAATCGATTCTTATAAAGTCTCTTAGGAAATTATTTATAAAATTATCAACAAAAAAACGGATTGATTGGTCGATTATCTTTGATATATACAGATGTTCGCGGTCTGGTTAACAAAAAACACGTACAGGAAGGTCACGAACAAGTTCAGCAGGCACTTTTGGATTACACGTTAACTTGTTATCCGTCTATACCGGTAGGTTTTATTACAATTTCATTTTGCAAAATTTTTATTTACTAGTCTTTCCCGTAAGATATATTCTCTCTCCATGGTCCACATATATTCTCACATTATTTCTCTCTTTATATATAGGACAAGTTTAATAAGCTGTTAGCAGTATTACCAGAAATCCACGTGGTAGCGAGTAGGGGAGAAGACCATCTTTACCAGAAGCACTGTAATGGCGGTGCTCCAACTCAAACGCTTCTTATGGAGATGCTTCACGCCAAGAGGAAATGAGACGATAGATTCGTGTGCCGACTCTACCGTAAAATAATAATCCATTGGTATGTACTATATTTTAAATACATTGGTAGAGTCCTCGAAATGTCAGACAGAGTGGACCTCAAAGTACCTATTATGAGCTAACTCGGCTTAGGTATCGGACCAAGTTAGATAGCCGTGGTTCATAAAATACCTATGCAAACAAATCAAGTATAGACGTACATACTTTACATATATACATAGTATATGTATTATAAAATGTATCTAAATATATAAACATAATGACATATATTTTCTATATTTGATGTTGAAGTTTTAGAGATGTATCCGTGGAAAAAATTACCCCTGTTGGTGATACAAGCGCAGGGAAACAGTAAGCAAGATGCCTTGAAAACAGTACAAAGGGTGGTTAACAAAATATTGGTCAAAGGGCAGGCAACTTTGTCAAAATAAGCAAAGCTATTTTTCTAATACTAGATGCGATTATTTTTAAGCATACCACTGAAGCCTTGCTCACACTCGAACGAAATATTCTAATAGTAACAAAAATCAGATCTCTCAGTTGATCGTGCTTCTGCAAGAAATTCAATTATAGGAATATTTGAGTGATAGTCAAATCACGTATATGATTCTATGTATTCACGCGGATAATGTACACGAGCCGAGAGAAAGAGAGAGAGAGAGAAGAGTGCAGGTGGATTTGTGCGTGTGCGTGCGTGCGTGTGTGTGTGTGTGTGTGCGTGTGTGTGTGTGTGTGCATGTGTGTAAGAGAGAGAAAGAAAGAAAGAAAGAGAGAGTGCTTATGCGCTCATTAAAAGCACGGTTATATCTGGACATCGTTAAAACTTCCTACAAAAATCTGCATTTTTCACACTTGCACATAGCAGGGCTACTGTACTGTAAATACTAGTTAACACATTCCAATTATGTTGTAAAGTATAAGTCATGTTAAATATGTAATTATAATATTTTGTGTATAGTTTAATGAAATAAATATATTTCTGTTGCTTACTGAGAAAAATCATTAGCTACTTAATATCTTCACATTAATTTTATAAGTTTTAGTCGTGTATCTCTCTTTATTATTTTTCAAACAGGTGGAGGAAGAGAATAACAACAGAATGAGATATTTTATTATTGTATGTTATAACGTAATAAAGAATTTGTTTAAAAAATAAGAAAATTATTGGAGCAAGGTTTATGTGGTCCTACATTGATTAGCGATTACTACAGACTATGGGCGCACACGTAACCGCGTGCATACATATATATAATAGAAATATAAAATGCATGCACATACGCATGTGTGCGTGTGCAAGTACGAGTACGTGAAAATTAAAACAAAAAGAAAAAAAAAGGAAAAATAAATAAATAAATAAATAAGTATATAAATATATATATTGATATTGATTTAATATATAAAATAAAAACACAGACACAAACACACATCCATATTCTCTTATCACAGTTGTTGAATAGATAAATATTTAACCTAATATTAAGATAAAGATCGAAGGTAGTAATTTTTCATTAAGATTATATTATTCTTTAGTTAATAGTAAGAAATTTTTCAGTGCTGTGAAGGTTGTCTTTTGACGCCTGTGGTACCCAAGCCGTCGAATGATATGCGTGCTAAATTTCAAGTTCGGATGTGGCATTGTGAACAACAATTATCCTTGCTCGTAATTAGCTGGCTATCGATAGGATTGCCTCCTGAAACTCCCCTTTGATCACGTATCAAACAAGTACCTGGGAAATAAAAACTATTTTAATACTTCCAATTTTCCAACGACGATCGCAATACGTGTAGCTAAGAATAAATAATTCCTTAACGTTGAATGAATCTTTGATGTGACCTTAGATTAAGAGTCGTACGTTGCATTAAAAAAAAATAAAAAATAAATAAAAAAAAAAAAAAAAAAAAAAAAACAGAAAAGAGGAGTAACAGGCGGCCGAAATAATTTTCTGGGTATCCAAAAAGGTTATTAGGTACTCGTGATTTCTACGAGTAAAGATGATCTATGTTCACAGCTGCGTTTGGCTTTAAATCAATATACAAGTATGCTAATGTGTTCTCAAATTTTCCAATCCGTCTGGTTCAAAATGTACGATCTGATCAGATACAATCGAAAGATTATCGTTTTCTTCTTCACATACACACACACACACATACACACACACACATACACACACACACACACACACTTATATATGTATATTTCTTCTTCGATCCCTTGGAAAGCACAGTTTTATTTCACTCAAACAGGAATGTCTACCTCTTCTCATAACTGTATTAAGTTTTTATACTTTTACATTTTTAGTAACCGCATACCTCAGTACACACACTTTGACAGCAATCCATACACAATAAGTTGGATGTTGTTTTTCATAGAACGGTACTTTTAGTTGCATTAATTCATACGTGCATAAGCATACCACAATGTAAAAAGTTCCATTGAGAAATATTGTATTTGTCGTAATGTCCATGTCGCTTTAGTTATAAATATACATGTTACTAATTAAATTATACTTGCGATCTGTATATTGTACCAAAATAGAAATCTAGTAAATAATGTCAAAGGTTAATTATACACGCATGGCCCCACGTTGCTGTTTGGGTAAGGCAAGTTAAAAACGTGTGTCATATTTATGTTATAACAATTACATTTACTTTCGGAAATTGTGCTGATCACATCGATATGATAAATATCACGATATAATTTGAACTATCGCAAATACCATTCATTTGAAATATTTAGTTCTTAATTGACCGTTCTTTATCCACGTCCAAGAATAAAAAATAATCGTTTCATTCATTATTTTACATCATTTAAAATAACGATTATTATCGAATAACAGCGTTAGAAATTCTACTCAATATACCTCTGATGCAAAATGTTAACTAGACAAAATGATATATAATTTAATGTAAATGTGATTCCTTCATCGCGCGAATATATATCACGAAAAATTTATTTTAACACGAAAGGGAAACTCATACGTTGTTAACACTGCCATTAGAAGCTGGCAATTGTAAATTATGTAGAAAAATTCAATGATTGTAAATATATCTTTATTATTAACAAATTATTTTTTCTTTTCAGAATCTCTATATAATATGTCATATTATTATTCATTGCATTCATTAAATACCCATCATGCATGACAATATGATTCCTTATATTCTTAATTTCAACAAATACAAATAAATATTCTCCCAAAAAAACATATAACGAAAAAAATAACATATATGAAGTTAGGTCAAAGAATATCTCACAATATTCATACTTTCAGAATATTTCATAATATCAATTATGTATGCTACAAATTTTAATTGTCATTTATAATTTACAATTCATAAAATATGGATTTCGTGTTTATTCCTTTCACGCTAAATATTATTATATTGTCATGATATGAAAATAAAAATACATGATAATACAATGCAGTTTGCATTGTAAAAACATTATTTTTGATATGCAATCCTATGTAAAAAGAAATCTTCGCTATAATTGTCGATCAAGAATTACAGATAAATGATATTAAATCGAAAGTTCATAATTGGAAAAAAAAGAGAAAAAAGAAAGAAATGAAATCTGCTATTTGATAATATATTTACTGACTATACAAATTGACTTCATTTTCTGTGATTCGCTTAAATTTTGTCTAAAGATCACATATTTATAAAAACAACTAATTATTTTTGATATTCATCTATGTCTACATCATTTGTGTCCATTGTATTTTTATGCTTCAAAATGAATAAATAAAAACAATATCTGCTTTGTATGAAATAGATTGTGTTTGTGAAATGGTTTTATAATATCAATATATATATATATATATATATATAATTTAATTAGTTTATGAAAAAAATTATATAAAAACCGTTTTAAGGATTTTCACTTTCATGGGAGCCAGACTTCAAAAATAATTCATAAGCTTTTTCATTCATAAGAGCCTTGATTTCCTCAGGATGGCTTAGTTGTACTTTATACAACCATCCTTCATTATAACAAGATGAATTAATCAATCCTGGTTTACTTTCCAATGCATCATTTTTTTCTATTATTGTTCCACTGACAGGATTTATTAATACGGATGCAGCTTTTACGGATTCCAATGCACCACATTCCTCTGAGAATAATGATATTTATTAAAAATATAAAATAACTTTAACATATAAAATTCATGAAAATATCAAACCATCTTTTTTAAAGGTAGATCCAACGTCTGGAAGTTGAGCATACACTACGTCACCTAGTGCATCTTGTGCATGATCAGATATACCAACTGTTCCTACATTATTATCTACTTTGATCCATTCATGTGTATTCGTATACCATCTTTCTAAATAGGTTAAAAAGGAAGAAGAAAATCTTCATGTGAGTACAAGTAAATAATAAAATCTTTAATGAATAACACTTATAATTATATATAATAAAAGTAATTAGAGATAAATAATTCGTAAAATTGATAGTATAAAAGTCTATCATTATCATTTCGAGATATTGTGAATGTTTCGTAATGTTTTACAAACTAAACAATATTTTTATATACCATTCTATCAACAAAATCGTGCGTTCTCTTGTTTTAAATTTTCTACTAATATTTTTCATTCGAACTTACCCGTTCTTAATCGTTGAGTTGTAGTTATATTACGTGAAGTAGATTGAAACGAAGTTGATATAGGAATTGTGAATAATTGAGTCTTATGTGAAGTCACTTTTTCAAAAGAATGCTTAATTATTCTTGTAAACAATCTTGCCATTTCTCTCTCTCTATCTCTCTCTCTCTCTCTCTCTCTCTTTCTCTCACACACACTCTCTATCTCGTTTACTCTTTTAATATCAAAAAACTTTCGGTCGACTTAACCTTACTTTGCTTCGTGTCGTCTGCTTGATACTGCCAAAGCACTCCGAATGACGTCGTCTTGTTAGTCCGTGGAATACGAACGAAATGGCGCGTTCGAGCGAACATAAGAATATTTCAATAATCTTTAGAATATTTCTTAACCGTTTCTGGTGTCATCAAGAACTGTTATCTTTACGAAGATTAATGGAAACTTTATGCGATGTTTCAACAATTAAACATAATAAATAAAATAATGACTACAATCCTACTGTTTGTTCATTGTTTCTTCTTGAAAGAATTATTTATATATTTGTTTGTTTATTTATTTATGTCAATAAATATTTTAACTAAATTAAAAACCTTTGAATCTGATATTTTTTTCCCTCCAACTAAGTTTTCCGATAGCTAACAAATACGAATGTTATAAGCAAAAGTGTTCTTTTTATAATATATAATCTTTTTTCTTATATTTCTTTTCATTAAGGCAAGATATTTCTAATACAATTACGAAATAACGAAATAACGAGTTATCACGAGCCAAAGAATATGTTACAATCACGTGAGGTTAAAAGGGCAAGAGAAATATTTTATAAAGATAACTTTAGATCTCTTTTTATCAAAGTTGGATGATATCATGACGACCTCGTGAGTTCAATGAGAATAACATAACAATAATAATATAGGGAGGTATAGATATTTTAATATCGCATAATGTTATTCTTCCTGCAGTAATCACTTCTGATTATTTATGTGCATTGCATTAATTTTTAAATAAGTTTATGATAATTATCAATGAATATCAGTTTCTGTAATAATCCTTTAAAGTCCGATATTAAAATAAGTATATTTATTTTTAATTTTGATAATACTAGAAAAAAGTAAAGCGCATTATTAAATACATATACACTTATGCGTATGCGTGCGTATGTGTGTTATAAACCAATAGTATAAGATCTTCCATTTGGATTATGAATTGATCCTATAATTGGTTCACTGATACACCACTCGTACCAAACATTTTTAACATTGCATCGGCGCCAAAAATGCAAAACTATTTTGTTCCCCTTTTTCAACTGAATAGATTCCTAATGTGCGATATATATATATATTGTTAACTTCTTATGATTATTAAATATAAAAGTATATAAAGGAATGTCAATTTTGAACATTACAATAATAATAAATATGTATATATCTTTTTAATCAAACTCACCTTTATAGGAAAGAAAATGGGAAACCAGCTAAACATTTCAGGACTATGTGTACTAGGTTCTATACTTAATGTAATATTATCATATAAGACTGCTTTGAAATAACCAGAAAATCCATGAAGTATGGAATCTTGTTCAACATCAAAAGTCTTCGTCTCATATCTGTTATTATCAATAATTTCTTCTATAACATATAGGTATTCATTATTGTTATTATAACTAATATATATTTATAAGAAGGTAACTCTATTAATTTTAAATTATCACTTACCTTTATTTGGATGGTTAAACGTAAATAGAGGTTGTGGCTTTGCTATGTCATATTTATTTTGCAAGTGAACTACATATGGCGTCTCGAAATTTACAAGAGGATGTTTATCCCTATCTTTGCATTGTCGTACTTCATTATATAATTTAGATGATTGTACAGGGCCAATATACGAAGTGTATGAACATGGAATACTGATTCCATCATCTAAATATTATTTAAAATATGAAATTTATCATGTAATTAACTCATTTTTCTTCAGAAAGAGATATTTATATACCTTTCAAAAATCGTTGGACACCATCCAAGCATTCAGGAGAAAGTTCATTATCTCCAAAAGACCCGAGCAGTTCAGATATAAGAATATCTGCTTGTTCTGGAGCACACCATTCTCTCATGTCACATGATACTACGGTTACTTTATCTCCCCACATATCTCCCTGAAGAGCCTGCAGGCTTTGAAAATAAGAAAATTTGAAATATATATTTTACATACTTTTTTTGAGTTATAAAAAATATTCATATTATTCAATAAAATCTTACGTATTGACAGCATTAGGATTTTTCTCAACTGCATATACTTTAATTTCTTGATTTGTTAACTTGGCAGCATTTAATGCAGCACGCACAAGTGGTCCTCTTCCAGCTCCAACAACCATAATTACCCTATAATATAGCATACATTGTTGACCGAGTTCATACATCATACATAAATGATACATACATTTTATCAAGTTTAGTTTCCCTTTTCAAATTTATATTTATTATTGCTTCAACTATAGCAGCTTGATATTGGGTATACTTTATAGGATCTTTTTCAAATATTTCATATGTCTGCGATTCAAGATTATCCATCAATGGCTGTAGCGGACATTGCAGATAATCTTCGTAACCGCGAGCAAATCGTTCAACAGGCCCATCTATTTGACAATTCTATAAAAAAAAATTTATATAACACATTGTTAGAATGTGACATTTATATTATATTATATTTTACTTAAAAGAATACTTTACTTTACCTTCCATAAATAGTCCAAGTAATTATGATAAAGTGTAATACTATTATATCGATTTGCTCCTGTCAATATAAATTGTACTTCCAACATAGCAAATTTCTTTATCAATATTTGATGTGCTTTGCTTAACACAGGATATCCCTTTTTATTAGTTATAAACAAAGTTGTTGGCAGTATCAAACATCTTACAGGTTCTCCTAGCCACCTATCAATCTGATATATTTTACATAAATTTATTAAGAATACACTTTCATTAACTTGTAGTACTTTAATTATAATTCATCTTCACTTCTTTAAAATGTAAAAATTTACGGAAGAAAAGAGAGAAAAAACGATAAATAAGTTACCTCTTCTGATTCAGGAAGATCATGGCTCACAATCAATGCAATTGCTAATTTCTTATCATAATCACAAACTGTTCTAAAACCATTCCACCATTCCCAAGGATTTTCAACCATAATATTTTCCTCCCCTCTGTATGAAAGTGCTTGTTTTAATGGATTTTCCATTGGTACTTGTACCCATATCTGAATTCATAGATACAAAAAAAAAAAAAAAAAAAAAACAAAACAAAAAAAAACAAAAAAAAACAAAAAAAAACAAAAAAAGAAAGAGAAATAATTATGCTTTCTATATAAAATATTCTTTACTCATTATAATTACGTATAAGAAATAATATATCAGAAAGAACACAACATACTTGAAAATTACAAGTAGCTGATAATTTATCATTAATAATTCTGGCAAGATTTATATTCTTTTCTATGCCTCCTATTAATTTAAGCGTAATTCCTGCCAATCCTAAATGACTAGCTAATGATAATTCCTGGTTTAATGTTTCTTCACTATTTTTTCTATAATTAAGATCTTTAGCATCGACTTTTATATGCGATGATATTTTTCCAATAATTAAATTATTCCAATCTATAAAAGGAATATTATTAAGTTAATAATTTCGACATTATCCTAATGTAATTTTCATTATACATACCAGAAGTACATAATACCAAATCAGGTCTTGTAAGTGGTCCCTGTCGATTTTTGACAACACCCGAAATAAATTCTCTTTTAAACAATGGATGAACCAGTGGTATACATATAAATTCAAATCTATGAAAGAGTAATAAATTACATATCCGTGTAAACACTTATTAAATATATAATTAGAAATATATCAAAGATAGTATAATATTTTTACAAGTATACCTAGATGAGGTTGCAGCAAATAAACAATTACTTAGATCAGGTACAGAACAAAGATCTAATCCACATGAAATTGGTCTTTGGTTTGTCATTATTTCTTATCATAAAATAATTCGAGTTATTCTCTGAAAAAAAAGGAAAAAAAAAGGAAAAAAAAAGGAAAAAAAAAAAGAAAAATTATTATTTAATAATGCTTTCATTTGATAATAACTTCAACTAAAGAAATTTTAATATAAAACATGATTAAAAACTTAATAGATTATCTTAAAGCTAATGAAGTATATTAATAACAAATAAATGCAATGTAATTTTCAATTACATTTGTATATTAAACTTTTAACTAATAAACGTACCTTTTGTCCGAAGCGTGTGTGACTTCAGCGACAGTTATGGACAAAATATGAACTACGAATACAAATGAGAAACACTACCCCCACCATGCGTCTATCGTATCGGTGTATAAGCTTGTTTGGTTATTCCTCTCAACACGTGCTATAACTATTACTTTCATGTGGGTGGAGTAAATAGTTTAGTAGACTGTGAACTCACACTTTTCAATATTTTATATGTATATGTTTCTTTGATAATAGCGTGTCTCGCTAATGATTCATGCTAGGTACGACGTCGATACGCATTTGTTCTACAAATAAAAGTATAAAGAATAATAAATATAATTAACACATATGATAATTAGTATATAAATTTGCAAATTTAAAGAAATTATCTTTGAATTTAATTATATCCTATCTCATATAGAGCTTAAAAGCTTTTTATTTATGCATAAATTATTTTCAAAAAGTTATTGTTTGAATGATATGAATTTTTTTTTGAAAGAGATAAAACTTTTTCAAAAAATTCGAAAAAGCGGAATCCTAGATTAAAGTTTTGTCTTTAAAATGGGACCTTATTGATCAAACTCGGTTAAGAATTACGCCTGTTTTCATTGTTGTCGTAAACCATTATAAAAGCAGGAGTGATGAACAACCTTAACCTTATTTTCTTTAAAGATTGTGTCGAAAGCAAATCATGAACCGGTACTTTATCAACAATAGGCATGCATGCACGCATTACTCGCGGTAAATCGGAACAAGTCGGAACAAATCGGGATACATCGGAATACATCGGAATATGTCAGAGAAATTGAATTTTTAAAAGTGCGCCAACATCATTATACACTCTACCGTTCTTCAACAGTATATATCCTTTATACGTATTTTAACATTAAAATTTATATATAAATTAAATTATTAATGTCATCTGGAAATTTACGGTAATAAATTTTGTTATTTTTATTAAAAATCTATATACATAAACGCATGACATATGCTAACGATAGGTTTATACATCCATACGTTTTCTTACAATATAGCTTTTAATTTCGTATTTATTTCACTCTTA